ATATACTGTATGGATTTGTGAGTTATAACAAATAAAATAGATCATATCCAATTGATGAAGTTTCTTTTTTAAATCTAGCCACCTGAAATAATCCTTCAAAATGTAGTTTATACCTCACCACTTTCAGAAAGCCTTCTCTGATCACTCATCTACAGTATTTCCCCTTATTTTTGCATCTGGAAATTATTGAAGTCAGTTTCAGAGAGCTACAAACCAATCACTTATAGGCAACATGGGCCTGCATATGTGCTTAGTTTGACCTACACCAGGTTGCTCAAAACAAAAACTGGACACCAAAAAAATTAGGACATTTCACACAAAAATCACAGGATTTCTGACTTGCAGGTTATATGTCATTTTCCCTTAGGGACCAAGCGATGAGAGGTTCCATCTCCATGCTTCCTTGATTACCAGTGTAGGCAAATCTCACACTGATTCTTAAAGGTTCCACCTAAAAGTGACCTGATAATTTCCAACTCATATTCCACTGGTCAAAGTAAAATCATGGTCAGGCTAACTTCAGAAATGATTTAAAAAGGTATAATCCTACAACGTGCCTGGAAGGTAAAAAGTCAGAAATATTTCCTATAATTAATGACATTGACTTCAGTTTCTTCCCTTCTACCTATTCTCCAAACTACCACTAGAAGCACAGACTGAATTATTTCACAACACTGCTTTAAAAACATGAAACTACAATGTTTAAGGGATAAAAAGTAAAATTCAACTTTCATAATCTTCTCCAGAGTCTTTTACCACCTTCTTTCCCATTATATCCCCTCACATTACCTATTCTCTAGCCTTTCTGAATATGTTTTAGCATATATTCCAAAATTTAGCTCAAACATCATCTCAGGCTCATCTTTCCCTTTTTCTGGAAAAAAATAAACCCTACATCCACTATATTTACAAACCACATTATTTATAATAAGCAGTAGTACTCACTCATTCAAAGTAGTTTATATGTGCCAGGCACTTAAAACATAACTGCCATGTATCTACTAGAATGTAAGGTGCTTAGATTAAGATCTTACTTGCCCTGGTAATTCCCTATAGCATAACACCCGACACACAGATTCTCAAAACATTAGCCTCCTAACAAATTCAAATAAGACAAGATGTAATGCCACGACATTTTACTTACATTTCATTTACTTTTAAGCGTACTTTGACTGTTTCTAAAGCTAAACGGACCCAGACCTAAACTATCGCTTTTTGAGACTGGAGACTATGCTTTAGTTATGCACGGCTCTTGGGTTTTGTCTTCACTGCTTTTGGAAATAGTTTACTTACCAAGACCTAAGTTGGGGTAGTTATAAAGACAATCAGGTAGCCAAATTAGAGCAGTAAATGCTTTTAATACAATCCTCACTTCTTTTAGTAATTTCAAGTTTGTAAGCACTCTAGCAAAGTAAATTTAAAAACACATTTGAAATTTAAAGCGATTAGTTTACAAATTCTAATAGTTCTAATAAAATATCTGTTTGCTTCTGCTTCAAACTAAGTTATACTGAAGTAGGAGACTGTGGACATATTTAGTCATTTTAGCCTACTACTGTCCAAATATTAGCATTTCAAAATGTAATATTAAAAAAATAAAACTTCAGATTGTCAAGGGCGGGAAAAAAAGGAGACGTATGTAATACTCTTTGTAATACTTTAAGCAATAAAACAATTAAAAAATTAAATTTAATTTAAATTTAAAAAAATAAAATAAAACTTCAAATGAACTTGTTTTGTAGGTATGGACACCATAATGAAGAACTAGGAAAAAAGTACCATAATAAAGCAAACAGAGAAAGTTTTAAGACATTGTGAACAGTGTGGAATATTGAAGTCTAGTTAAAAGAGAACTAAAAGTAGGCAAATAGACTTGGCAATTTAAACAACTACAGTACAGTAATGGAGGAGGCCAGAATATAATCTCAGGAAGAGTCAATGGAGGTAAGGAAGTAAAATATGTGACTATAAGCTATTATTCTCAGAAATTCTAGAAATAAATGGAAGAAAGGTTTAATGGCAGGGTGCAGTGAAGTTTTGTTGTTTCTTTTTGTTTTTTAATGTGCCTCAGGCATGAAACAGCTCTGGCCACCAACACAGGCATCAAGCTAGGATGAACTAAGGACTGTACATCTGCTTTGCCCCTGATTGATATAAGAGCAACATCACCAATCAGGTGTCTCCTTGCCCACTGCAGGGGGTTGTGAAGTTTTGTTTATAGAATACAGGAGACTTAAATATCTTTGTAGGCAGAGAAGGGGGGATGGTCAATGGAGCAAGGTTTCAAGAAAGTGTAGGATCAGAGAATAAGAAAGGATACTTCTATTCAGAGATAGGTAAGAATTCTTAGAATAGATGAAGAACTCTATTCTGCTCATTCCCATGTTTTAAAGGGGGCATCTGCAAACTTATCAGCAAGTTTTGTGGAAAACTATTATGAGGAAATTCTACCTTTTCAATTAAATGGTAAGATAGTAACATTCTCTACTGATTTCTGGAGGATAAAACAACTTATGTCTCCTTTTCTATTTTTATTGGCTGTTATGCATTAGCAAATGGCAAGAGTGGCTATTATCAATCTAAAGATCTTTGACTTCTTATTAAAAATAAACAATACATTTAATGTTTCATTCCTGTTCATTAAAAGACAATGCACTTAACATTTCATGTTGTAGAAGTAACATCGTAAGTATATGACAAATCAGTCTGGAACAAGCATGTCAAACTCAAAGGCTAACACGGGCCAAATAAATGAGGCATGAGGCCCAGGGGCCGCAAGTTTGACATGCTTGGTCTAGAACAGCGGTTCTCAACCTGTGGGTCGCGACCCCTCTGGCGGTCGAACGACCCTTTCACAGGGGTCGCCTAAGACCATCCTGCATATCAGATATTTACATTATGATTCATAACAGTAGCAACATTACAGTTATGAAGTAGCAACGAAAATAATTTTATGGTTGGGTCACAACATGAGGAACTGTATTTAAAGGGCCAGAAGGTTGAGAACCACTGGTCTAGAACAAGAGTAAAATAAAATTTTATGGAAAAGTTTTCATCCTTTAATACCTAGTATTTGATAAAAGAGATATCACAGAAGTTAAGAACCCCCACAAATTATTCCCTTGAGAGTTTGTCATCTAATTGGCCAGATGAAAAACATACATGAAATGACAGATTCTTAAGTAATGTATTTTTAAGTTCAAATAAGAAAAAACTGAGGACCCAAGGGGTGATTAAATTATCACAAAGCAAAGAGAGGTTACTAAACCACAACTTAGTTTTCCACTTAAGGCAAAGGTTTGCAGTGGTCACTGAGATATAATGTAGCTCAATTTGTGGTCAGTAAAACCATTATTTCACATCCAATAATTTCACAGCACAGATACATAATTTATTGCATTTAATGCTCAAGGAAAGTTACTTTGGCATTTAAATTTGATACAACTTCCCTTAAGAATTCTACTAAGGCAACATTCTTACCTATAATTTGCAGGTGAATTTACAGTACCTACACACCACCTCAGCTCATTTCTGACAATTGTATATCTCAACATTGTTATTGTTAATTGCAGAATAAGTTAGGGAAATTCTAGAAGCTATATAGAATGTTTACAAAAGTATAGAAGCAGCTTTGGAAAGGTCAACTTCAGAGATGCTTAGGCCTGTTAAGAAAATGGATTATGTCTTACAAAATTGGAAGAAACATGAAGAAACAGGCTGATACTACAGAAACATGAGAATATTTAAAACTAACAAAAGTAAACAAAAAAATAACTGAAGTCTATGCAAAGATGCAATATAGAATCGCAAAATGATTTCAATTGTCTAAAAAAGTCATAAACCGTGATAGATCTAATCAAATCATTGTTGAAAAATTGCCTCTAAAACACTGAAAATTTCACGAAATTTCAAACACAAGTGTTTCTTACACAAAATAGACTGCTTTGTATGAAGGAAGACAAAGTCACTGATAGTGATATGGAAATGAGGTAAAGGGATACTAAAGGTGGGTTATAAAAATATTTCCCCAAAATAAAACAATCCATTACTTAAAAGGAAGGAACAACACATAGTCATCTCTCTTGCTAATAGAGGACTGAAAAGATAATTAGTGTAGAACTCAAAAGAGGCAGAAATTTCTTCTTTAACTGAAAGTATATAGAATACCCTGAGATAGAAATCTATGAAGAGGTCATTTGTCCAACAGCATGGAACAAGACAAATGATAATAGTAAAACAACCGAAAATGCACTTAATTTTAATAAGAATGTAAAAAAAAAAAAAATCTGTACCAGATTTAAAGAAAAAAGAGGTATTACTTATCAATTCATCCATGTATCATAATCACTAACAAGAATTTATCAGTCCTGCCGAAACCGGTTTGGCTCAGTGGATAGAGCGTTGGCCTGCGGACTGAAGGGTCCCGGGTTCGATTCCGGTCAAGGGCATGTACCTGGGTTGTGGGCACATCCCCAGTAGGAGATGTGCAGGAGGCAGCTAATCGATGTTTCTAACTCTCTATCTCTCTCCCTTCCTCTCTGTAAAAAATCAATAAAATATATTTAAAAAAAAAAAAAAAAGAATTTATCAGTTTTAAGATTATACAAATGTTCTAGAGATCAGTTTTCTGGATCTTACCAAGAGTATGCCATGTTTACTTTTTCATGTGTTACTTCTAATGTCTACATTGCAAACCCGCAAACTAGATATTTTGAGTCCTTTTTTTACTAAAAGGCAAGTTTGATAATCTCACATATTCCCAAATTTTAAATCAAAGCAAAGAGAGAAAATTCTTATTACTAGGCAAAAATTAAATTAAGATAATAGAAAATGTTCTCCACATGTTACTTAGTGTTGAAATACAGCAACCATAAAAGGTAAGCTTCTTACCATAATGTTACCTATGAGGTGATTTTCTTGGGAGTGATTTCTTTCTCTGGATAACTAGAAAAAAGCTTGCAGTTTACAAACAAAGAAATACTGAGAGTCTGTATACTAACCTGGCCCAGTCCAGGCATACCTCCTCCAAGTCTAAGAAGTCTGTCCATATTTCTAGAAAACAGAAACAAAGGAAAACGTTTCTAAGCACAAAAGTGTTTACGCAATTGCTATCTATATAATTCACCTTCAGTCACTCAGTATGTCAAAAATATTGGTGGTAATTACAACACAACATCAGACTTCCTGTTAATTAACACCACATATTAATTCAAGAAACTGTCTTCCATGCTAATTAACAGACCTTATTTTACTGCTTTGGTTTTGGGTTATCCCCAGTTTTAAAGACAAGCAATCCTAGCATAATTTCAAAACTTTGCTATCATTAAGTTAATTATATATTTTATTGTTATCTAATAAAGTACCTGAATAAGGAAAAAGTGCCTGAAATGCTTATATGTATGACTGAATTTCCTCCCATTTGTCCAGAGTGTACAAATAAAAATCCTCACTCTTAAAATTAAATTTTAACATCCTCATTAGTAAGTTCTGTGCTAATTAACTTACAGCTTGTCAGTTATCATCAAAACTACATGTGAAAGACATTGTGAGCAGATTATGGATCTCTGAATTAGCATCAAAGGCTTTTGAAAAATGAACTCATTATACTAAAAGGAATATTAAAAGTAAACATTAATGCATTAAGATAGTGTTTTACAACCTACACAGACGTTTTGTGTTATTTCAGATATTGTATGTCCTTTTTTTGCTAAGGATATTCAGCTGCTATTCTTCACTCTAATAGAGAGGATTAACTTTGAAATATCAATCTGATTTGTTTTTTTATGTCTGGAATAACTACAGAAGACATTCTGATAAGCCTAGAAATTTCACACAAAAAACTGAAAGGAAAAAAATAGCAAGGCCTCAAATATACAAAAAGGAGTAATCAAGTTATACAAATTCATATCCAGTACCACTAAATACTTAAAGATGAGAATAAAGCATTTTTTTCTACTTGCTAATATGCCTTACAATTTCTCTTCTTCCTATGCTTTAGAAAATGGTATTATACAAATATAAGTAAAATGCTAACAGATTCGTTTAGTCATTTGTCCATATCATTTTCTAGTTAAAAGTGCTACACAAATTGAAATGCAGTAATGTACTTATGGCCCTGTGGCTCAGTTGGTTCCATGAACCGAGAGGTTGCTGGTTGATTCTGGGTCAGGGCACATGCCCAGGTTGGGGGCTTGATCCCCAGTAGGAGGGCTGCAGAAGACAGTCAATTCATGTTTCTCTCCCTCTCCCTTCTTCTCTCTCTAAAATCAATAAAATAAAATAATGTACTAATGATCATTACTTTTTGCTTAATCATGTTTGTTGAATCCTAACAATGTAATCATGAGGATCTATATATATAAAAGGCTAATATGCAAAGTGTCCCCACGGGAGTTTGACCGGGAGACCAGGAGTTCTATCACTCGCTATGACATAGAGTATATTCTAGAAATTCCAGGCCAAAGTCGATTCCCAGCTGTGTTCAGTTTATCTATTCCCCATGTTGTTTCTGATGCCTTTACACAGACATACACTGACCACCAGGGGGTGGCTCGGAACGAAGGAAGGCCCCAGCCGGCAGCCAGCAACCAGGGAAGGGAAGCCCCAGCTAGCAGCCGGCAGCCAAGGAAGGAAAGCCCCAGCCGGCAGCCGGCAGCCAGGAAAGGGAGGCTGCAGCCGACAGCCAGAAGGCCCCTATCGGCCCTGATTGCCAGCCAGGCCTAGGGACCTACCTGTGCACCAATTTCGTGCACTTGGCCTCTAGTATTTAATAATGTTAACACTGCAAACTTTATTCAAGTCCATATAAAGAACACTGAAAACTTTACTCAAGTCCACATATAGAAGAGCACACAAATGAGTAAACCATGGAATTTTCACAAAGTGACCACATTCGCATAACTACCACCTAGATCAGGTATGGGGAACATCTGGCCCGAGGGCCATATAAGGCCCGAGAAATCATTTGGTCTGGCCCTGCCAAGGCATTAGGGGTAAGTTAATTAAACGTTTAGCAGGCTAATTTTTAAGTTGATAATTTTGTATGGCCCTCGCATGATGTTACAAGTGTCCAAATGACCCTTGGCAGAAAAAAGGTTCCCCACTCCTGACCTACACGAAGGAACAGATCATTATCAGCATCTAAGAACACCTCTCATACCCCCTTCCCAGTCTCTGCCACCCCACAAATTAGAATTCCAACTTCTAAAAGCATAGATTAGTTCTACTATTTTTGAATTCTATAGAAAGTAAATCATATACTTTAGTATCCAGCTTTCACTGCACAAGTTTGTGAGATTCACAACAAATAAACTCCTTTAAAAAAATGAAAAGGCACATATGAAAACTTGATAGCCCAGACAAATTTCTGCTTTACAACCTTAACTCATACTCCTAATGGCAACATTTACAAATAAACTCTCCATCAAATTCTCATTAAAATTCTTCAACTCAAATCTGGCATTCAATATATAGCATTTTTTAAAAGGCTATAGATAGGGGGGAAAAACACCTATATATTTTAAAATATTAAAGACATTTCTCTAGAATATATTATCAAAGGAAAAACTTTCTTTTTTTGGACTATTTCAAGCTTACAAACTTAAATGCAAATGGAAAAAAAGTAGTAACACGCCTTGGCTGGGTGGTTCAGTTAGTTAGAGTGTCATCCCATATACCCAAAGGTTGTGGGTTCGATTCCCAGTCAGGGCACATACTAGGTTTTGGGCTCGATCCCCAGGAGGCAACCAAGCGATGTTTCTCTCACATGGATATTTATCTCTTTCTCTCCCCCGCCCCCCTTTTCCTCTCTCAAACATATCCTCGAGTGAGGATTTAAAACAAAACAAAACAAAACAAAACTAACAACATAGAGTATATTCTAGAAATTCCAGGCCAAAGTCGATTCCCAGCTGTGTTCAGTTTATCTATTCCCCATGTTGTTTCTGATGCCTTTACACAGACTCCAGATGCTGTGAATATACATGAGCAATGTGGGGAGCAGAGGGAAAGAAAATCTGGCAGGTCAAATTTGTGTTTTTAGCAAAAGTAGATGTCTCAGCAAACAGGAGATAATATTTAACAAACCAAAACATTTAAGATAAGATAATCAGATCTAACAAAATACCAACATTTGGAAATGAAAAATATTGATAAATGTTCTAAATCACACCACTATGTTTAAGTTTATAGAATGCAAACAAAAACAAAAATGCTTTCATGAGCCCTTAAATTTGGTTATCTGATTTATAATTTGTTATGTGTTAAAAATGATATATTTTCATAACATCCTATGTTAATTCCTGAAAGAATATGTAAGTAAAATACATTCTTAATTCTCACCTGGTCAGTAACTACAATTCCTGTGGTGCTAAGCTTCAATTTGTTGACTTTGACAAGTTTCTTCTTAAGTCAAGCTATTGCTAATTCTGGCAGTTATGATTTTTTTTGAAGTATTTTTTTCACTCTCCTAAAAAAAAAAAGTAAATGAAATGATATAATTTTGAGAACTAAAAAGGAAAATATAACAAGCACTTTACAAGAAGCAAAATTACTTAAAAACAAAATAGAAATCAAAATTAAATTTTTAATGACCGTTTCCAGAAGGTATAGAATGAAATATCATCCTGGGAAGCTAGAGAGCATAGTGATTAATCCTATATCAAAATTTTATTTCTAAGGATGTTTTTTTAAATTATATGTATTTTTTATAACTTTATTGTTGACACTATTACAGAAGTCCCCATTCACCCCGCCTCGCCCACCTTTACCCAGCCCCCTTTCCCCCTTCCCTCTCGCCATTACCACACTGTTGTCTGTGTCCATGGACTTTGGCTAATCTCTTCACCTTCTTTTATCCATTCCCCCCCACCATTCCCCTCCCCTCTGAAAGCTGTTGGTCTGTTCCATGTATCCATGCCTCTGGTTTTATTTTGTTCATCAGTTTATTTTGTTCATTAGATTCCACATATAAGTATGATCATATGGTAATTGTCTTTCTCTGACTAGCTTATTTCACTTAGCATAATAATCTCCAAGTCCATCCATAGTGTTGAAAAAGATAAGAGTTTCTTCTTTCTTTTTTTCAAAATGCATATTCCAGGGCCTTACCCCAGGTCCACTGCATCTTTTTTCCCCCCAATATATTTTTATTTTTTAATTGTTGATAGTATTACAGATATCTCCCATTCCTCCCTTCTTTACCCCTCCTAGAATTTTGTGTTTTTTTAAACCGTTCTAATTATACGTAAAAATTGACATTTTATGACTTTTAGTCTTTTGGGAAGTGTTGCAACAAACAAAGAGAAAATTTACTTATATTTTAAGTAGAACTAAATTCATTTGATTGTGTAATGACCATATAGGTCCACTGCAACATTATTACAAATCTATGATACATTATGGAATCATTATGTTATTTGTCCTATATCTTGAAATTTGCTGTTCATTATCCTAGAAATTAAGTTCGTTTCTTAATTCATTATTCCCAATTATGCCAAAAAGACTAAAATAACATGAAAATGTAAGAATGACAACCACCACCCAAAATGAAGCAATCATGAAACACGTTACAGTTACTGCGTCATCCTTTAGTTTTTATTGTGCTGTACAAAGCTTTGCTTCATCTTTCAAAAAAGATATAAAAAAGACTAGAGACATTATCTTTGTAGTCTTTTTTTAGTTTTCATTGAACACAATTAGAATTTTCCATATCCCACCCATAATGGCAAAAGGAGAATTGACAAAGAAACAAAGCTTCACAATTTTTAGGGCCATCACAAGATGAATGTAAAGAAAGAAGTAACAGCATTCTTTTCTAATAAGACAATAAAACTGATGGTATAAGCCAGTGATGGCGAACCTTTTGAGCTCGGCGTGTCAGCATTTTGAAAAACCCTCTTAACTCCGGTGCCGTGTCACATATAGAAATTTTTTGATATCTGCAACCATAGTAAAACAAAGACTTATATTTTAATATTTATTTTATATATTTAAATGCCATTTAACAAAGAAAAATCAACCAAAAAAATGAGTTCGCGTGTCACCTCTGACACGCGTGTCATAGGTTCGCCATCACTGGTATAAGCCATGAGTTGGTGGGGGGGGGGGGCCCTTTTGATAATCAGAACCAAAAAATTTTGTTGTAGGGGGCTGTCTTGTGTATTATAGGATGTTTAGCAGTACCCCTGACCTCAACCCACTAGATGTAATAGCACCTATCCGATGGTCATAATAAAAAATGACTCCAGACATTGCCAAATGCACTCTGAAAAGGCAAAATCACTCCCAGTTAAGAACCACTGATATAAACCAAATCTCAGCTCATGCATCTTCAGATGACAATACCCTAGATTCATTTTCTCATACTTAAGAACCAATGAGTGCTGGAAACTGTTTGGGAGCTCTTCAAAAAATTCAACATAGAATTACCATATGACCCAGCAATTCCACATCCAAAGGCATGAAAACAGGTATTCAAAAGTACATGTACATGCATATGTATAGCATTTCTATTCACAATAGCCAAACAGTGGAAACAGCTCAAGTGTCAATCAAAGAAAAAAATAAACAAATTCTAGCACTGTATACACAAGCAATGGTATGGAATATTATTCAGCTATAAAAAGAAATGAAATACTGATACATGTTACAATGTTGATGAAGCTCAAAACATTATGCTATGCGAAAGAAGCCATGTACAAAAGGTCACATGTTATATGATTCCATTTATATGAAATATTCAAAATATACAAATCCAGAGAGACATATGGAGATTGGAGATTGCCAGGAGCTTGGTGAGAGGAGTAAAATGGAGAAACTACTGCACAGGTTTAAAGTAACAGATTTTACTTTCAAATGATGGAAATGTTTTGGAACTAGGTAGGTGGTAGTTGCACAGCATTGTGAACGTACTAGATGACACTGAATTAACTAGCTGTTCACTTTAAAATGGTTAATTTTACATTATGTAAATTTCACCTCAATAATTTCTTAAAAGGATAAATGAACAAACAACAATATGTCTAAGAAAAAAATAGAAATATGACATTTTCATCCAGTTAGGTACTCAACAAGGACTTTATCACATACTATTTTACAAGAACCTGTTTTGCTAACAAAATGTATAATATATTCTTTTACCTTTTTAAAAAATATATTTTTGTATTGATTTCAGAGAGAAAGGAAAGAAGTTAGAAACATCAATGATGGAGATAATCACTGATCAGCTCCTCCTGCACCCCCCTTATTGGGGATTGAGCCTGCAACCTGGGCATGTGCCCTGACCAGGAATCGAACTGTGACCTCCTGAGCTCTTTTACCTTTTATGATGTTGATACAGTTCATATGTGAACAAATGCTGAAGTGTAACACAAAAGGAAACAGATAATGTAGTAATGGAAATAAATTATTGGACTAACTCTAATTGGTGTTTATATATCTAAAAATAAAAATGTTTTGCAAGCAAAGATGATGACCATCCTCTCTTCCACAAAATTAAGAACTTTCAATGTCTGTTTTCAAAAGTATTGCAATTGGGAAGATGAAAATTTTTGGAGATAGATGGTAGGGATGGTTGCACAACCATCTGAACTGTACACCTAAACACAGTTAAAATGGTAAACTTTAGGTTATGTATATTTAACACACATACCAAGTACTGCAAGTACAAGAAGAACTGAAGAAATCATAAGCTAGGGCCCATTTAGAGAGGTATTTAAAATGTGGAGCTGATCTTTACAAGATGGATATGTACCAGGTGGATGATGAGCAGTTAATTACATTCAAACGATGTTGTCCATTTCAGGTACATGTGCCTTCAAAACCAGGAAAATATGGAATAAAAATTTGTATTTTCTATGTTTAAACTTAACATTACTAAAATCGTTGTTTTTTTACTCTCTCTTTATTTTTACTTCTGTACATTATTCATGACTTAAAGGTGTAAAAAATGTTAGAAGGTCCGCTGGACCCAGATGGAAAATTGGTTTATGAAGGTTAAAGCCTATGACTCTGTAGTCCAAGTGCCAGGTCTAACACTTATTAGCTCTGTGTCCTTGGGTCAGTAACCTCTCTCAGTCTCAGTTTCCTCGTCTGCAAAATGGAGATAATGATAGCATCCATCTCATAGAGTTGTTTTGAAGATTAAAGAAGACAATGGACATAACATTTAATATAAAGTTTGGCACATAGTAAGTAAACCATGAATGCTAACTGCTATCATCAGCACTACTATCCTATGAACATGCTACGTTTATCCAACACAGATTCTACTTCCCACAGTGTGCCACATAGGGAGTTTTAAGATACTGGGTAGCCTGGCTATCATGGCTCAGTGGTTGAGCATCAACCTATGAACCAAGAGGTTACGACTTTGATTCCTGTTCATGGCACATGCCCGGGTTGCGGGCTGTATCCTTAGTAGGGGGTGTGCAAGAGGCAGCCAATCAATGGTTCTCTCTCATCATTGATATTTCTATCTCTCTCCCTTCCTCTCTGAAATCATTTAAAATATACTTAAAAAACAAACAAAATTACTGGACATATTTCACGGCACTAAATGAATCACAATGGAGAGAAGGGATCTGCATTTTGAAGAATTTAGCAAAGGGATTCATAAAATTCAAGTACTACACAATAAAAACATAAAATTCAAGTGTTACACTATAAAAGAGAATTCTTCCAATTCTTAGAAATAAAAGCAACATAAAAGGTCTATGGTTCTAAACCAAGTGTTTACACCTATCAAAAGGTGGAGGACTCAAGAGCTCATTCATGATATGATTAAATATGGTCAGATAATATGAATGAAGTGTTTAGTTACATGTATTATGCCACACATACAGTAATGTACACTAATTAGTAAAAACAGTACAAAGTATCATTATTTTCAAAAGGTTATTAATTTTCCATTTTTTCATCTTCTGAGTTAATATCTGATTAGAACTTGATATAGTTAGATAATATCCATGATATATGTAATTAAAATACATCATTCCCAAATATTTATAGGAAGTTTATGGAACCATGAATGGAGTTCAAAAGAACAGATCCTCCAAAACTATCTTAATCTTGATTAAGCATGTGATAATTTTTTAAAAATACATTTTGATTGGTTTCAGAGGAGAGGAAGAGAGAGATAGAAACATCAATGATATGAGAGAATCATTGATTGGCTGACCCCTACTGGGGATCGATTCCCACAACCCAGCCATGTGCCTTGACCAGAATCAAAACATGACCTCCTGGTTCATAGGTCGAAGCCAGCCAGGCAGAATGTGATTTTTTATTTTTTACTTTTCAACCTTTTCACAAGAGCCTCTGGTATCCCAATAATTCATAAAATTCAAACAAAATCATGAAGCCCTTAGCTGTTTGGGTTTACTATTAAGTTTCTCATTTTCCTTTTTTACTTCCCAACCCATGCAGTTAAATACTATTATTTCTCAGACTGATGCTAAATGCTTTTAAAACTACTCCACATTTGTGATCTCACTGTATTTCTAATTCCTCCACTCTGATTTGTGGAAAGTAATTAGGAACTTCTTTCACATTCTTAAGGGCTTTCTTCAGTGGAAGAAATACAAAGAGTCAACATTAAACTTAATTATATAAACAGGATTTCAAAAGCAAGATTCTCCCCCTTGAGAACAGAGTGTGGATAGAATTATAAGTAACTCTTGTGGTGTCTCCTAATTACGGCATTCAAGTGAAACAGTTATTAGGTACTACCATGTTTATAAGGTAATACAAAAATAGAGCCACTAAGAAACTTAGTGACTTGCACTGAAAACAATTTACAATCTACCTGGGGAGGCATGATATAAACACATGAAAAATACATAAAGTGAAAGGACAGCAGAGTAGAGAGAGCCTGAAAGGCTCTGCAGCCAATCAAACCTAGATTTGAATCCCGGTTTCAACATCTACTTATCACAGGATCTGGAACAAGATACAGTGCCTTCTTCTAGACCAGAGGTGGGGAACGTCCAATCTCCGGGCCGTATAAGGCCCTCGAAATAATTTGGTCTGGTCCTGCCAAGGCATTAGGGCTAAGTTAATTAAATGTTTGACCAAATATAGCAGGCTAATTTTTAAGTTGATAATTTTGTATGGCCTGAGAATGATGTTATAAATATCCAAATGGCCCTTGGCAAAATAAAGGTTCCCCACCCCTGTTCTAGACTATAATTCAAATGGGACCACCTACCTTGCAAATCTGTTGCAAGAATAAATACAGCCCTGACCGGTTTGGCTCAGTGGATAGAGTGTCTGCCTGCGGACTGAAGGGTTCTGGGTTCGAGTCCGGTCAAGGGCATGTACCTTGGTTGTGGGCACATCCCCAGTGGGGGGTGTGTAGGAGGCAGCTGATCGATGTTTCTCTCTCATGGATGTTTCTAGCTCTCTATACCAGGGGTCCTCAAACTTTTTAAACAGGGGGCCAGTTCACTGTCCCTCAGACGTTGGAGGGCCGGACTATAGTTTAAAAAAAAACTATGAACAAATTCCTATGCACACTGCACATATCTTATTTTGAAGTAAAAAAACAAAACGGGAACAAATACAATATTTGTATTTGCATGTGGGCCGCGGGCCGTAGTTTGAGGACCCCTGCTCTATACCTCTCTTGTCCTCTCTGTAAAATATCAATAAAATATATTTTTTTTTTAAAAAGCATAAATACAGAGCACCTAATATAGTACCTGGAACATTATAGGTACTCAATAACTTTTGTTGTTTTTACTATATTATTATCTTTGAGCTGAAAAAGATTATTGAATCCAATTCTCATTTTACAAGTGGGGACATGAAAGTGTCACAAAATGGAATATAAATGTCAAATAAGTACAAGAAACGGGGTATTTGACAAATTCATGAGTAAGAAACCACAGGAGTATCCAAGTAAGGCTTCCACAGGTGGACACTGATTTATGAAATGAACATTGCTTTCTATTGAAATTGGGGGGAAAATAAAAGCACCATTGCTTCTTGGTACTGATTTGCAAACAGGGGTTCTGAACTTGGAAACTAAACGCACAGTTTACAGGACAAGTATAAAAAGAGAATGAACCCATGTCAGCGAAGTTAAAATCCAGCTTTTCCATGAGAACAGCAATACAGTATTTTCTAAACACCCGGAGCAAAAAAAAAAAAAGTCTCCTAAATTCAACAGGTCAGGCTTCACTGAACGATCATGAAATCTTTCTCCCATTGGCCAGATGTAATTTTGTTCTGGGACAAGTTTAAGACAATACCCAGGCTTTCCATTAAATACCACTTCACTCAACATATTGTAACTAGTTAATTCTGAGCGACTATGCCTTAATCTCTTCCAATGCACAAAACACCGTACAATTTGTTTGAACCATATAATGTAAACTTTGAAGGTTGACAGGCTTACAGGAAGGTCACCATTGTGTCAATCATCTCCACTAGAATTGTATTCGGTTCCTTTCTGTTATTTCAACATTACCAATGACTGTCTTGTTGCTGTCCTCATAAACATTTTAAGTCAGCAGCCCTAAAAACACACTTTTGTGAGCAATGAAAAAAAAATTCTTTTCACCCCAGAATTATATTTCTATGCTAATTTCCAAAGCCTCTTTCTTTCCTGCCTCTCCCAAGAAACCTTTCTCAACTTTTGGTACCATCTTAATTTCAAAACTTCTACATCCGGTCAACAGGTTCAGATTCTGATTCTCACAAAAAGCTTACATTTTTCTTCTTTTGACTGAAATGAAGTGAACGTCCCCAGCAGAACTAAGAGGTAACACACAGAAGCTGATTTCTACTTTACTGAGAAACGGGAAATGTAGCCAATTCCCCAACAACTACACATTGGAGGTTAAGTTAAAAGTAATTTAAAAAGCCGGGATAACCACACATTGTTTTGCAGATTTTCAAGATGAAAAACCAGTGAATCTCTGGGGTTTTTGTTTTTTTGAAGGGATCTAAAAACCTAACACTAAGAGTCCGGGGCTACGGGAAGGACAAGTAAGTGATCAAGCCAGCATGCATTCAATTAGTAATTATGAGACAATTAATTTTCTTCTCTCCTTTTGTCTGCCTCTGTCTGCTTTTTCCAACAGGAGTACCTACCCATGGAGCCCCCATGAGGCCCTGAGCACCGGTCCTCCCGGTCCAGTAAGGAGGTCCCAGGATGCGGCTCCGGGGGCCGGAGCACCGGGAGAGGAGGGAACACCCAGACCTAACTCTGCCCCAGGCCCGAGCAGCCCTTCGCCAGGGCCCGGGCCTCCCGCGGCGCCTCGGCCGGGCAACGTGACTCAGGAAAGCGCGGGGCGGCCGCGGCCTAGCGCGCTGTCTCCGCGGCCTCCGGGCCCGGCCCTCCCCGTCTTACCTGGGGGCGGGCGGGGGTCCGCGGCCTGGACCCTGGTCTTCCCGCGGCGGTGACGCGGCGGCGGCGGGGCGGCGGCGGGGGGTCAGACTCGGCCGGGATCTGGCTCCGCGAACCGGCGATGAATCAGCCCGATTCCATTCAAAAGAGTCGCCCAGGCCTCCGCCGCGAAGTACTTCCGGGTTCACGGCTCCGCTTCGGCTTCCGTTCCCCCGAAGGCCAATGGGAGACGAGTCGGGAGCCGGCGGCGTCCCCGGAGGACCGCCCCGGACGGACTGCCTGGGCGGCGGAGCTTCCCGGGTCCGCGCTGGGAGGGCGGGGCGGACGGTGCGGGGTCCGCCCCCGCGGCTCCGACAGCCTCTCTCTCCGCCACCTCCGAGCCTCCCGGATCTGGATGCCGGGTCCCAGCCCGGAGGGGGCGGGCGGGGGGATGGAAGTGCAGGATGGCGGAGATCGGAGCCCCGTCGCTCGGTGTCCACCGCGGTCCTCCTCGAAAACTAAACGCTTCACTGGGTCAGCTGAGAAGCAGGAGAGAAGGAGGAGGGTGTGAAAAGAAGAGGCATCGGTCAGAGGCCCATTTCCGTAGTGCCATCTACCCCCCTTGTCTTCACCGCGTTGCAAGAATTGGATTTCCAGGAAAACCAACGTTTTACCAAGTGTTAAAGCCACTTATTTTAGGCTCAGTTGGATTGGCAGGGCTTAAGGAATCATTTACTCCTGTTTCTCCGTGTAATTTGCATTAACAACAATGTTTTATCCATTTACTCGTGTTTCTCCGTGTAATTTGCATGAACAACAATGTTTTATCCATTTATCTGATCTGTGCTAGGTTTTAGATTAAGGTAGCATGTTTACTAAGTCCCACTCCCTTGGTCAAATATCTTGCAAATAATATGCATCTTTGAAACATTCCTAAACCAAGAATGGTGATGAATTTACTGGGTGGAGGGGAAGAAGGGGTTATGGCATATGAATTCAAAGCTATTTGAGTGGTACAATTACATAGAATTTCCCTCTCAAAGATGCTCCGTCTCTATCTAAAAAAATACATAGATGATTTAAGCGTAGGTAATATTAATTATATTTGGGTCCTCATCCTTATATTTTCCCCCAAACCTATTCCTCCTCTGTTTACATTTTTGGTGAATGAACCCATCCTTAACCCGTTTCCTAATCCAACCTGAGAGCAGACACTTCCCTCTTACTTACCTGTTCCCACTGGCTTTCCAATTTATCACCCTGGAAGTCATGAAGAGTTTAACCTGTAAAATAGCTTTCCCAACCCACCACTCCCCTCTGTTCATTCTCTCTACTTCATCCTTAACTCAGGCCTTCATCACTCTTTTCCTATCATGCTGCAATAATCTCCTTGGTCTCCCTGTCTCGAGTCTGTCCCCCTTCAATTCATTCTCCACTTGGTTGGCAAAGATTTTTTTCTGGCTGTGCAAATGCAGTCATGCCCCTTCTTGGCTAAAACCCTAACCAGTGGTTCTCAACCTTCTGGCCCTTTAAATACAGTTCCTCATGTTGTGACCCAACCGTAAAATTATTTTTGTTGCTACTTCATAACTGTAATGTTACTACTGTTATGAATCGTAATGTAGATATCTGATATGCAGGATGGTCTTAGGCAACCCCTGTGAAAGGGTTGTTTGACCGCCAAAGGGGTCTCGACCCACAGGTTGAGAACCGCTGCAACCCTAACCCATAACATTCAATAAAAGATTAAAAATCTTCCAACTTTTTTTGGAGCACCATTGCTCCACCCATTCTAAGGTATTTAGCTGGGATGAGATGTCCGTAGGGACTTTTTTAAAACTCTGACATATTCCTGGGAATTTAGAAGGAAATATACATGCTTAGGGCCATTTGATTGCTCAGGAAAGACCTGAGAAGGCCTTAAGCTTTCACTTCTGCCTGCCCTTTAGGCTCTATATAAGTAAGAAGTAAAGACTAAGGTAGAGTTGTAAAGTCCTTGGCTGAGTGTGGAAGGCATGCCCCAACACACATATAAGATCCCTGGCAGAGACTGGGAGACTTAGTAGTTGAAGATATTTAAGGAGATCTCTGGCCAGTCATCAGATGACCATTAAGCTAACTAAGCAAAGACTTCAGTGCTCACAACAAAGAACACAGACTTTAAGGAATGAATTCAGAAAAGTCACTAAACCAACAACTATTAGAACAAACAGAAACAACAAAAATCCTGGGGAGAGTATAGAATTTGATTTCCTGAGTTGCCATATTTTATTATTTTAAATGTCCAGTTTTCAAAATAAAAGTATTGAAAAAGTATGATACTTATAAAAAACAAAACAAGAATATAATGCCCATACTTAGGAGTAAAAGCAATCAGTAGGAACTAACCTTGAGAAAGCTCATACATTGGACTTATTAGATAAAGACTTTAAATAAGAAAAAAAATAAACAAAACAAGACTTTAAATAAGATATTGTAACTATGTTCACAATGCTAAAGGAAACCACGTCTAAGAAAACTAGAGGAAAATATGAGAAGTGTGTTTCACCAAATAGATAATAAAGATATAGAAATTATTTTTAATAACAGAACAGTGTAAACATAAGTTTTGGTTTGGTGACAAATCAAAGAATTCACATGACTCACTTATTATGATATTCACTTTATTTTGCTGATCTGGAACTGAACCCACAAAACTTCAAGGTATGCCTGTAGAAAAGAGAATAAAGAAATATAAGCAGAGCCTCAGAAGCCTGTTACACAAGCATACCAACATATGTATGATGGGAGTCTTAGAAGGAGAGGAGAGAGAGATAAGGCAGAAATAATATTTGAAAAATAATGGTCAGAAAATTCCCATATTTAATGAAAAACAATCTACACATCCAAGAAGCTTAAAACTCCAAGTGGGATAAACTCAAAGAAACCCACACTTAGATCCATTATAATCAGCCTGCTGAAAGCCAAAGACAAGGAGAGAATCTTGAAAGTGTCAAGAGAGAATCCACTTATCACATATTTGTCAGTAAGATTTACAGCCAAAGCTATGGAGGCAGAAAGCAGTGGGATGACATTCAAATACTGAAGGAAAAGACTTTCAATGAAGAATTCTATATCCAAACACTATCCTTCAAAAATGAAGAAATTAACACATTCCCAAAATGTATGTATAAACAAAATTAGAATTTGTCACTAGGAAATTTGCCCTCCAAAAAATACTAAAGGGAGTACTTCATGCTGAAATGAAAGGACACTAGACAATAACTCTAACCCACATGAAGGAATAAAGGACACTTGTATAGGGTACTACATAAGTAAACATAAAAGACAGTACAGCCCTAACCAGTTTGGCTCAGTGGATAGAGCGTCGGCCTGCGGACTGAAAGGTCCCAGGTTTGATTCCGGTCAAGGCCATGTACTTTGGTTGTGAGCACATCCCCAGTAGGAGGAGTGCAGGAGGCAGCTGATTGATGTTTCTCTCTCATCAATGTTTCTTACTCTCTATCCCTCTCCCTTCCTCTCTGTAAAAAATCAATAAAATATATTTTTAAAAAAAGACAGTACAAATATGTTTTTGTTTGTAATTCATTTTTTTCTCCTATATGATTTAAAAGACAACTGCATAAAACATATTTATAAATCTATGTTGATGGGCATATAATGTATAAAGATATAATTTGTATTATAATAACAGCATAAAGGAGGGGAAAGAGAATGAAGCTATATAGTAGCAAAGTTTTTCTGTATTACTAAAGTTAAATAAGTATTAATCTGAACTATCCTATATAATAAAAGGTTAATATGTAAATAGACCAAATGGCAGAACAACCGGTCGCTATGACACGCACTGACCACCAGGGGGCAGATGCTTGGTGCAGGAGCCAGGCTCATGGCTGGCAAGCGCAGTTGTGGTGGTGGGAGCCTCTCCAGCCTCCGCAGCAGCGCTAAGGATGTCTGACTGCCAGGGAGCGGGCCTAAGCCATCAGTCGGACATCCCCGAGGGCTCCCAGACTGCAAGAGGGCACAGGCCGGGCTGAGGGAACCCCCGCTTTCAAGTGCACGAATTTTGTACACTGGGCTTCTACTGTTGTTATAATTTGGTAATTTTAATCCCCAGAGCAACCACTAAGAAAATATTTATATTATATATAATAAAATAAATAACAGGGAATTAAAATGGTACACTACAAAGTATGTATTCAACACAAATGGCAGAAGTAATGGAGGAATAGAAAAAAATATACAAGTTTAAAAAATAAATTACAAAATAGCAAATGTAAATACTATTTTATTAGTAATTACATTAAATGTAAAGATTAAACATTCCAATTAAAAGGCAGCAATTGGCAGAATAGGTAAAAAAAAAAAAAAGAGAGAGAGAGAGAGAAGAAAAGAAAAGATTGAACTATGTGCGGTCCACAAGAGACACAATTTAGATTCAATGACACAAATATATTGAAACTAAGAGGATGACAAAAATATATACCATACAAACAGTAACAATAATGGCATAACAACTTTGAAAATTGTTCTGGTATTTTTTATAAAGTTAAAAACACAATTATTTCACCTAGCAACTCCACTTTATATATTTACAAAAAATAAATAAATGTCCCTCTCCCATCTCCTATGCCCACATTTCACCCACCTTTTTGGAGCGTGGTCAGTTAATACCAGCCATGTGTATTACCCTACAATCAAATTCTATCATCCCTGTTTTACTTATCTGCCTTCCCATCTCAACATTAAAAAAAAAATAATGTTGTGCCCTGACCGGTTTGGCTCAGTGGATAGAGCGTCAGCCTGTGGACTGAAGGGTCCCAGGTTCGATTCCAGTCAAGGGCATGTATCTTGGTTGCGGGCACACCCCCAGTAGGGGGTGTACAGGAGGCAGCTGATCGATGTTTCTCTCTCATCGATGTTTCTAACTCTCTATCCCTCTCCCTTCCTCTCTGTAAAAAAATCAATAAAATATTTTTTTAATTAATGTTGTTTTATTTTTTAAATATGTTTTAATTATTATTTTTTTAATCCTCATGAATGGATTTTTTTCATTGATTTTTAGAGAGAGTGGTGTTGCTCAGTGGATAAAGCATCAACCTGCTCACCAAAGGGTTGCAGGTTTGATTTCCAATCAAGGGCAAGTACCTTGGTTGCAGGGTTCATTCCCGCCCCAGTTGGGGCACATTCGGGACCCCCT